TCGGGGACGGGGGAAGGAACCCGCCCCCGTTACAAATATGTATATTTTCTTTTTTCTTTTAATTTTTAATTGTTTAAACTTATTCTTTTTCTTACTACTAGTACAATAACSGAAGAAAAAGTGGATAAATTGCCTATTGGGCTTGGTTTTTTTTTAAAGTATTTACAAGAATTAATATATATTAATATTAAAAATATAAAAATTATTAAAATACTAAATGGGATGGGGACGGGGACGGGCGGGGAGACTTCCCCGCATCCCCGCCCCGTCCCCACTGGGGACCCTGATTAGGATCCCCGGTTTGATTCCGTTCCCGTTCAAACTGGGAATTCCCAGACCCGATCGGGTTGGGTACGCGCGGGACTCGATTCCTGCGGGTTTTTTTGTCATCTCTAACCCTTCATTGGTCAAAGAATACTCAAATTTTTTTTTCATTCATGTAAAATAGGAAAAAAAAAAAGAAACTGAGGAGCCAGGGAAAAATTTAGAAAATGTGTATATTTTAATTTTAGAGAGAAAGTTTGAAATCCATAAAATTTTGGAAAATTTAAAGAGAAAAAAGGGGAAGTTTGAAATTCGTAAAAGATAGAAGAATAGAAAGAGGGAAGAGAGAGAAGGAACACTAAGAGAGATAGGGAGAGAGAAGAAGACGAAGAATAAGAAGAAAGGTAAGGAGAGATAGAATTTCAGATTTCAATGAAAAAAAGAGGGGGAAGCAAAAATTTAAGTGAAAATGAGTAGAGGGACATTGATGGTCATTTGATTTATTTGATGATGTCATCAAATGATTAGATAACGTAAGTTTTGGGAGTGGAGACATATATCAAAGATGGTCAAAGGAGTTTTGGCAAAAGTAGCCATTTTTGGAGGGCCCACTTTGATATATATCCCTATTTCCAAAATTATGTTATCTAATCACTTGCTACATCAATTTTGTGTAAAAATACGTATTTGTCCTCTTCATTTTTTCTTCGATTTATCACTTCCTTTTCTCTTTTTCTCTCCTCTTTCCTCTCTCATCTCGTTACAAATTCTCTCTTTCTTGAAAAATCCAACACCCACTTTGTCTCTCTTCTTTACTCACCATAAAAAAACCCTAAATGTTTATTGCTATCTCTCTCCTTATCCCTCCTAAGCCGTCTCTCCCTATTCTCATTCTTGTTTTTCACATTCTCTGAAAAACCAGCAACAAGCTACTCCATTTATGTTTTTTTTCGATGAGAGACCGACGCCGAGAGCGAGAGCGAGAGTGCCGAGAGTGGGAGCAAAAGTGTCGAGAGCGGGAGCGAGAGGGGCGAGAGCGGGAGCGAGAGAGTGAGAGCTTTTTTTTTCTTTTTTGTTTGGGGGGTTTCTGTGAACTCCTTGTTCTTGGTGTTCTTTGTTGAGTTTTTATCTCTCTTTGAGGTGTGACTCCGTTCTTTTGTGCTGTGTATTTGTTATTGTTTTGTTTTTTGAATTTTAAGGTCCAACCATGGAGTCAAGATTGAGAGAAGATGGATGAAGAATAAGGAAATAAGGAAGAGAGAGGAGAGAGAGAAGTGCATGCCTTCAAAATCAAAACAAAAAAATCCAAAATCAAAGGAAAATAAAAAATCGAATTGAATGTGGTGTAAAAAATGGAAGAAAGAAAGAGGGAGAGAGAGGAGTGCACGTCTTTGAAAAATCTGATAGTGAAAAAAAAAATCACGGAGAGAGGAAGAAGATCTGTAGAGAAATGGAAGAATGAAGAAGAGAGAGTAAGAGAGAGTTAAGAGAAAGAGGAGCGAGCAGAGAAAATGAGAGATAAAATAAGGAGGGATAATTTGTAATTTCACGCAAAAGTGACATAAACAAATTCTAAAAAAACATAAAATTTGGAGGTGGTGATATATTTCATAGTTGGTCTCTGAAAAAGGCTATTCATCTCAATTTCCCAATTAAAAGGGTTATCCAACCCAAAAACCCATTTTAAATCCACAACTTTTCACTTTCCTAAAACAAAAAAATATCCAAATGTCCAGATCTCTTCGTCTTCTTCATCTGAAAACAACTACCCGTCGTCGGTTCCTTCGTCTTCTTCATAAAAAACACCATTTTTTTCGATAGTCTTCTTCATTTTCTCTGTTCCCTCGCATGCAACAGCCCGTCTTGTTCGTCTCTTGCCGGCAGCAGCCCGTTTTCTACCGTTTACATTTTAAAACTTATAGGTTTATTTCTGATTTCTGATTTTGGGAGTTCAAGTTTGAGGTATTGTTAAGAACAGTTTTTCAATATGGGGGATTATCCTAGTCTATGGATTTTTTTAGCATATGCCAGTGTGTTATTTGGTTATGTATTTATTTGCTTTGTTTGTTAATTGGAGTGGAATATAGCTATATATACTTTATAGTTCATATATAAGTTTATCTGAGCTTGATTTTTATGAATCGATTCTTCATACTACAGTCAACACTTATAGTTTATAGTCGGATATAGTTTATATCTCTATATAAGTTTATGTTATAATGGTAGTCGGAGATAGTTTATCTCTTCATATAAGTTTATGTCATAACAATTGCTGTTATAATGAGATTATTTTTATGCTATTGTACTCATGTTTTGCTGTTAAGTTGTATGTATTTTTGGCTTGTCTGTTATATTCATTTGTACCATTGGAATGAAATAAACAAATATTTTGTAATAAATTTCATTTTCTAGTTAGAATATATTAAGGGGTAAATTAGGGGATTATGAGAATAATTAATTTGGGGCCGCAATAATTTAATGTTTAGAAAATCAAATTTGGAACATTAAACCTTTTACATTTAAATAAAAAAACTAATTATAATAAATATATATGTCATAGAGTAAATTTGGCATTTGAAAAAGTTTTTAAATCCAGAAACCTAAAACTATAAAATTTGTAAATATTAAACATTTGTGAAAATAAGTTTATAAAACAGCTCGACATTATTTCTTAATTCAACGATTTAAGAAATTTATTCATTTTATAAATAGATTTTAAGAAATTAAATTATTTGACCAAATTAATTAATTAATGGGTCTTTAAAATTAATTGTCAATTAAATGTCTCTCTCTCTCGCTCTCCCTCTTATCTCTGTCCTCTCTCTCACTCTCTCTCTCACCCTCTCGCTCTCTCTCGGCCTCTCGCGGTTTATTTCAATCGATATCTTTCTCTTTCCCCATATTTGATTGAGATTATCTCCTTCTCCATCGTAAGCCGAACTTCCTTCTCCGACGAACGACCTCCCTCGTCAGCTTTGATGCACATGTCGATTGGTGATTGCTGAAGGTCATGAGAATCATGGAGGCTGTTGGTAAAAGAAAAAAAAAGCAAGCATGAGGGCTACTTGTTCAAAAGAAATAAAAAAGGAAAAAGGAAGGGAAGAGGAATGGCAGGTGATGGTGGATAGAGACAAGAGATTTAGGGTTTTATTTATAGTAAATTAATTTTTTTTGGTGGGTAAAGAAGAAAGAGAAGAATATTATTTAGAGAGAAGAGGGAAAGAGAGAAGAAGGAAAACAGAATTCTCAAGAAAATTTTAGAGAGAACGAGAGAAATAGACCTATAGATGTGGAAGAGAGAATGAGAGAAAGAATGAAAAAAGAGAAGAAAAGAAGGAAGAGTAAACAAAGAAAAAATGAGTTAATGGAAAATAGAGATAAAAGAAAAAAAATTTCTAGAGAGGTAGATAGAGAGAGAAAATAAGGAGAGAAATATATTTTTCATTTTTTTTGCAAAGGAAATCTAAAATATTAGTGAAGGGCAATAAGAATTATTTGGTATCTGATGTCAGATTAGAAAACATCTATTTTGAAAAAGTGGTAAAAATCAATACTGTATTGGGGAAGGGCTATTCAACCCAAAAACTTTTTTTTTATTCATTTAGAATCCTACCAAATTTTGGGACAAATTATGATTTCAATTAATTTAAAATTCCATTTGTTTTTTTTTCCTTTTTAAGGTCCGTCTACTTACCCACAATCGTAATGAAAACTTTGATTCCCTTGTGTTTACCAAAGTTAAAAAATATTTTATTTGATGTTTTTTATTTTAATTATTTATTATGTATTAATATTAGATAAATTGTTATAATAAAAAATATTGATTTTCATTACGATAACAGATAAGTAAACGTGGCCTAAGTACAATAGGTGAGATGATGGATCGAACTCATGACCTTTTGATTGAAGATATATGCTACCACGATTGAGCTAGGCTGGATTTAACCCATTTATTTTATTCAAAGAAAACACTAAAAAGGATTTCAAAATCACCCGTTTATAAATTAATTCGGATTTATTTTTGGACCAAGTAATTTGGAATTCTAAACCTAGGGTAAGAAAATAAATGGTTAGGGTGAGTAAATATAGTAAAATACATAGCATAAATACACAACATGGCACAAATCTGACCAAACCACAAAAAAGTTTGGCTTTCCACGTCAAAATCATCAGCATGCTCATATCATCTTCCACAATAAAAAGTTTCAACTTTCAACAATCATTTCTATATTCTTCATTCACCCACGTTTTAGAAGGGAAAAAAAACCCCCAAATTTCTGCGGTTTCCAATTCTAAAAAGAAACGGAATCCACTTGGCTTAGACGACAAAGGAAACATTTTTGACAATCCAGCACATGTGTCGCATCGTGTCGTGTCTCTTTGACCGCCCATTCCCAACATTTTCAACTGTTAGTGGTAAATTCCGGCATACAGCCACCGCAGGCGGCGGCGGAGACAGCCGGCGGGATGAACAAACGACCATTAAAATTCAATTGATTTAAAGGAAAAGAAATTTAAGATCCACACAGCCCGATAACGATGTTCTATCGACTCCGATCGAATTACCAAATTGTCCCCCGTTCCCCTACGGAATCCCAACAGGGGCAGCGCAATAATTTAATTCACTACTAGCAACGCACTCACCCACCCACAACCAGACGCAATGGGAAGGGAATTGCGGGGCATAAGGTAGATTGACGCCGAAGAATCGCGAA